GGCTGGGTCACGGGAACGCTTGTGCTTTCTTCCGCGACCCAGCCGGCAACGTTAGTACCCACCCTAATACTGTTTCGTGTGGTTACCAAATTATTGATTACCTAAAAAACTTTAATATCCGGGACACTGTCAGTCCCAGGTCAACGGAATAGAAAGGACTAAATAATTACTTGTATTAAAATACTTAAATACAGGACATGAACTGCGTTGACTCAAACATCCGATATTTTTTTGTTAAGACTGTACTTGGAATTACAGCAATTATAAAATGAACAAAAATATCTTCGATTATAGTATGACTAGCTTTCGCCCGCGATTTCGTCCGCGCGCAATAAAAAAAACAAAAGAAAGTAGCCTATATATCCTTCAAAAATATCCTCTACATCTATGCCAAATTTCATCGAGATCCCTTCTGCCGTTTAGGCTACAAACTCTAACAAACATCCATCCATCCATATATCTAAACTTTCACATTTAGTTATAATATTAGTATATTTATTTATATTATGAAGTATGATCATGTTAATAATTCAAGCGAAAACCATTTATTGAGGAAATTGCGCGGACAAAACAACGTGAAATTTGCAATTAAAGTTAGAAAAGAACGGCATAAAGCTAGTTTCAGTCAAAAATGAACATAATTTTTGATTATTTGCTCGAATAACAACAACTTTCTAACAATGGGCGACCACTAGTTGATTTTAATTAAGCGATAACAGTTATTGGATTATTTGATCTAAGTTGAAAGTAAAATATAAAAAAAGAAGATGTAAACAAGTAAATACTACAATCTAGAATTCATACCTTTTGAGCATTGGGTATTTGTAATTCGTAATCGCAAAACACATTTACATTTCGCGGTACAGCGCCATCTATTGGCAATAGTTGCAACAAACACAATGCATAGAGCTTTACTATGCGTCTTGTATGTTTTTTATCGCACCGATTTTTTTATAAAATAAACTTCACGGTTCTTTTACCAAGCCGGATAATAAATACAAAATAATAAAAACAAAGGAGGGTTTTTAGGAGTAATTGATTGTAACCAAACTGAAAGCAAGACTAACTGCAACATAGAATTGTTAATGTTATCTTTAAGTGTTAGTTAAAGATCACCCTTAGTGGCCATTTATGCATTACAACTAATTTAAATAAATAGTTGAATAGCCTTATGAGTATAGATCTTATAGGGACATTGTTTCGTCCTCGCTTCTTTATAATTTCATAAACAAGTCTAATGCATTTGTAATGTGTTGCTCCTGTCGGCAATTTTTGCACAATCTATCATCTTTTTGGCATAGATGGCATTCAATGGCATCTTGTCAACAGATTATTTGTGTATAATATGGTTATATCAAGTAAAATAACAACAAAACGAGATAGCATTTCACACAATTAATTTCGATTTTCATTTTTTTATTAGCTCCTTTACCTAGAGTAGGCCACTTTTTTTTGATTCTTTGTCTCAGTGTTGTAGGCAACTGAACATTTACTGAACAATCATATGTTAAACATATGAAATTAGAAACAATGGTGTGTAAAGGAATTAAGCGCCATTAAACAATCAACTCGAGAGATATTACGGTCCACATTTTATGACTGTGCATAATAATACGCTAGTTTAATATAGTTTACAAGTATCGTATTGCAGATAGCCCCTGATAATCACCAACCTTCGAAAGAAGATGACATTTTAAGAAGAAGTATGGAATTGTATTATCTGTGGTATAATGTAGTTTTTTTTGCCTTCCGGGTCAGATGAATTGGATGAACTATACTTATAGTTAACATAAATAAAGTGGTTATGTGATGTATTGACAGGTAAATGTAACGACAGAGATGACCTCTGTAGTAAGAATGCGACCAGCAACTGCGAGGTGGACCAGATCTTTAACAACACGAGGACAGAGTTTTAACACAGAACAGTAGACTATGCAGTATCATTATTGTATAGACGCACGCTTACTATTCTCGGCATGTGTTATTAATAAAAACAATACTGTTTTGTCCTACTGCTCTTCTTTACTGCCTTCGTGTGAAACAATCATTATCCACGCCATCACAGACCAACTAAACGGATAAAAACGGTTTACGCATTTTGCATTCATTAAGTGATTTTTTCCTACATTCTGATATTGCCGGAAAAATCTACTTCTCGATTAATGAATCGGATTTTGAAATTGATAATTCATACTTTATTTTATTAAAAAATGTTACGTAATGAAACTTTAAATAATTGAAGATTTAATTTA